AGATGCACCTGTATATATATATATATATATATATATAAAGCTTTAAAATGTCAAATGATTTTGGAGGTAAATTAGAGAAATACTGAAATAAAATTACAGATACTGATTTGTAATGCTTTTATACCTATATATATATAGGTATAAAAGCAGCTGTGTTCACAAGGAACACAGCTGCTTAGTTCCTTGTGAAAAGAAATGCCTATATATTTCTTTTCACAAGGAACTAAGCAGCTGTGAAATCTATAATCTATAGGCAGTGCTTTGAAAAGTGTTCATATGGATCTGAATGACTCTGAAAGACATGGACAGAGATGAAGCCAATGGAAGGAAACTATACAGCTGTGGCAATGTCTCATTTGGGAGACCAGCTATCCATTCGTCCAATAACCCACAGGAATGACTTGAGCAAAGGTATGTGTAAAATAAATTTTTTCTGTCAGATGAAGAGCTGAGAAGAATTTTAATCAGAAGCATCGCAAACACACACTTCCGCCGTACATACTTAAGTGCTATTGTGTTACTGCAGCTGTAACAAACCTCGGCACTAAAGGGTGCAATGTACTTTGAAATATCTGTGCCATTAAACCAAATGTATTATGATTTAGGAAGCTATTATAAACTTATTAAAGGGATAGTTCACCCAAGAATGAAAATTTGATGTTTATCTGCTTACCCCCAGGGATTCCAAGATGTAGGTGACTTTGTTTCTTCAGTAGAACACAAACAAAGATTTTTAACTCAAACCGTTGCAGTCTGTCAGTCATATAATGGAGGTGAATGGGAATCACGGCTTTGAGAGTCAAAAAAACATACACAAACAAAACCAAATCGTAAAGCAAGAAGAAGAAGAAAAAGATGCGTCACTCGCCGGCTGAAGAAGAAGACGCGAACGTGCTCAGGATGCGCTCAGGACAGTTCGGACATTGCAGTAAATCAGAGGTAAAAAATTATATAAATACTGTTCAGTTTCTTGCACAGACCGATCGTTTCGTGTCTTTACACATCAATGTATCATCACGAGCCGCAGGGTTTAATTTGGTTTTGTTTGTGTATGTTTTTTTGACATTCAAAGCCGTGATTCCCATTCACTTCCATTATATGACTGACAGACTGCAACGGTTTGAGTTAAAAATCTTTGTTTGTGTTCTACTGAAGAAACAAAGCAGATAAACATCAAATTTTCGTTTTTGGCTGAACTATCCCTTTAATTCAACTAGTCTTAACTTTCTCAGAAAGATTACATACATATAAGTTCAATAAGTTATTGCATAGAGAATTTAAAAAACTGTTTCATTATTTTTGTACTTCAGTCATTCAGTATTAATTTTCTATAATTTTGTATTAACACATAAATTAGATAAATCCAACTAGAATAAAATACTAGTACGCAGATCAATCATTCTTAACTTTGTCATAAAACTCAACAACACATGAGACAAAAGAATTATATATAAAAAAAAACATTTAAAATATATTTAATAATAAAAAAAAATTAATAAATTATTAAATAGGTATTTTAGAAATTATTTCAATGAGCCGGTCTGATCAATAACACAAGGGAGGTATAGGGGGACACACTTCAAGCAGGAATCGGACAGGGGCCACGCCAGGCATTGTGGGATATTCTTCTACTTACTGACTGCCTCCTCCTCATCACTGGATGAAGAGCCAATAGAAAAGAGAGTTTTAGATTTGGGGAGCATGGGCGAGATGCTGAAGGAGAAGGAGATTCTTCGCTTGGGTCGCGGCCATCCGATCGCTGGTGGGTTCCATGATCACATGAGCAAAAAAGATCAAAGCAGGCATTATAATAAAACTGGGTGCTAATACACTGGCAGTAAAATGTCCACTCCCTTAAAGTGACACCACAGTGAAAGGGAACCACGGGAGGTCCACATCTGATGAGTTGAAGAATACCAACAATCCCAGTTGATACAGGACATTTTTGTAGTATAAAGATCCCAGGACGTGAAATCGGGTGTTAGATATGACTGACAGGAAGTGAGTGGTCAGTGTGTGGTTATACATGACCGAATATTTCCACTACTAATCTTACCACAAGGGCATGGAAGAGACCAGCAAAGAAAAAAAACCCCTCTGAACTCTGCAACAACTGATCTAACAGCACTTTTGAAACTTATCAAATATATTTTAGCCTTTTTTAATGTATAAAATATGTTGTTGTCATTACAGTGCTGCAGAGCTCAGAGTGGCACAATGAGACACAGGAGTGAAAATTAAAGAGGTATTTAAACTCACCATCTATGTCTTTGTGACTGATGGCCAACATGGAGACAGACTTGGTGAGAAAGGGTTGTGAATGTGGGACACATCTTCGTCCAGACTGGATGGACTTCTGAAAGCAGGAAACATGACAAATCAGTTTGGGTAATTAAATGCAATGAAATTAAAACTACTAAATCAGATATAACTCTTATATCTGATTCAGCACATTAGAACACATTGCAGTGGTTTTTTTAGCCTTCTTTCCTTGGCATAAAGGAAGACTCTCAGTAAAATTATTTCATTTTCTTTCCAACTATCATTATCACATAACTAATGGCGCTTTTCCACTGCATGGTACGGCACAGTACGGTTCACTTTTGGGGGGTTTTCCACTGGGTACAGTACCTGGTACCTGGTACTTTTTTTAGTACCACCTCGGTTGAGGTTCCAAGTGAACCGTACCGTTACCAAAACGTGACGTGTAAACTCTGCTGATCACGGATTGGCCGGAGAGAATCGTCACTACCTGCGTCACTGAACTTGCGACACAAACACAACAGAACCGCTAGATTTAAATCAGCACAGCCAGCAAAGGATCGAACGCAACTGTTTTGAACAAGCGCACCTTTTTTAACAACCAAAAAGTGGCTGTTTCGTTGTCTGTTGAGGAAATACAGACGTTCCTCTCGTTGATAGCAGAGGAGCGGATCCAGCGAGAGCTTGATGGGGCGACGCGGAATGAAAAAGTTAGAGGCGGCGCAACTATAACGACATGTGAATAATCCCGCCCACTCTAAAGCGGTACTGAACTGCAGTGGAAACGCAAACCAAACCGAGCCGAGCCATACCGTACTGTACCGTACTGAGCCGTGCCGAGCCGAGTCCTACCACGCAGTGGAAAAGCGCCATTACATACATCATGAACATAGCGTCCATGATGTCATAGTCATTTATGGTGTTTTTAAGCTCTTTTGGACCTTGACAATGACCATAAACTGCTGCTGCATGTAAAAGAGATTCACAAATATTAAAAATTGTCATCTTTTTGGCTGAATTATATATAAATATTTACACAGTGTTGTTATAAAACAATGTTTAACAAAAAATATTTGTAATGATCATAAAAATATCCACAATAAATACATATAAATAAAAAATTATATGATAAAATATTGAAAAAAAATCTAGAATATATAGTTAATTTAAATGGTTTGAATAATATACTTACAAAACATATCAAAATAAAAATGATACATTGATATCAATGAAATGATAACATTAAAATATAAAAAAATCTACAAATTTAGTTTAAATGGTTTAAAATAAATCTACTAAAACTATAAATTAAAATAATATATAAATTTTAATGATATTATAATATATACAAATAATGCAATATTAAAGTAAAAAATTAAATATAGTTTAAATGGTTCAAGTTATATAGTTAGCTTTAATAGATTTTGTTACTTACTTTGATGATATAGATTTCAGCTGATACGTGGTGACAGGTGCGTGTGGTACAGTACTGATATGTGGTACAGTATATAGGCTTTTTGCAATGTCTGTGAATGCTGCACAACCAATCAGATTTTAGTGCTGGATCTATCCATTTATAAATAATACTTCACCTGACTGTCCAAACTGCTGCAGTCTCGCAGGTCTGATTCCTGTTCTTCTTCTGTCAGGGACACAAGAGAGCCTCTCTCTTCTCTGTCCAGCTTTGACGGACAGTTTGGTTCCTGGCTGGCCTCCCCCATGCACTGGTTAAGGCTTTTCCTTCCTTCCTTATCTGCTGCAAGTCCTTCCAGGCTGTAACTGTGAAAATAAGCATATTTGATTATGCTTGAATTTTATTGCGGTTCAGAGTTTCAAAAAAAAAAAAAAAAGTTGAGATGGTGACCACATGCACACAGAATCGCCAAAGATCTTTTACCTTTTTTTGGGTGACATTCAAGCACACGCAAGATGAAGCTAGACGCAAATTCATTCAGATTTACATGCACAAAGGATCAAATGACAATGAGCAAAAAATCTACTAGCAAATGATGACAATACAGGCTTGACCTCAGTCTGTGAAAGTTGCCGATGACGAATCATAATCCATTGACTCACGCTATACAACCAGCCCTTGACATTTCCTCAAAGCAAAATCATTCAAGCTCTGCCACCGAAATGGTTAGCCATTTTCCACATTGTGCAAACTAAAGCAAAACTTCGTACAGTGGCCTAATTATTATAGTATTTGGACACTAAAAAAAGTTTGAATGTCACTGAATTAAGTATCAAATCAAATCGCATATATTTGAAAGAAAATAGCCAAAGCCAATCAATTTAATAAAGGTTATTTGTTGGGTTTTAAATGATAAAATCATCATATAGCAAAAAAAAAAAAAGACTACATATATTAGGACACTTCTTGGTTTTCCAACATTATTAGTGTGTCAATCACATTATGAACTTAAAGGCAAGTGACTCATACATCCACTTTGAGATCACTAGGTTCAAATTAATTACAAAAATTACTCAGAAAAGTTAAGTTGGTTCTGAAAAAGCATAATTTGTTTGCAGATGCGATCAGTCCCGTTGAATGTAATGAAATTAAATTTAAAGTGCAAGTATCCATATACATTTTGGGATGAGTATGTACAAACTACATGCTAAATATATTTTAGAATTATTTAAACTTACTTACACCTAACTGTTGAGAGCAGCTCAACATAAGTGTGATGTGCTCTGAAATTCTTTCTTTCTAACAGGAAACACTTGAAAAGGTGACAATGTGGTAATATATATTAAAAAAAATATATAATAAAAACATCTCACCTCTCATCAGGTTTTGAGATCCAGATCAGTATGTTAGTCATAGTTCACATTAATTATTACCTGCTGTGATGCTGTAGTTTAGTCTACATCTCTAGCTAAACTAATTCATTTAAGTGGCCGGTTAGTCTCTGACTCAAAAACAAAGAAATCAACGGAAATGACTGCAAGAGTGCTTGTGGTCTCACATGTTTGTCCGGAGAGACGAGAAGACTAAACCATAGAGAGGAAGTAGACTACTACACAAACACACAATGCACTATGAACACATATACACCACTGTCTTTACAACACACTTTTTGTGCTCCTATAATGCAATTAATGCTGTATCATACCACAACAAGATGTTTAAAGATTTTAGACACTTCCTCTTTGTCTTTCTTTACCTTCTTTCATTTATTTCGTCGTTTTCTGAGCGCGGGACAACCGAAGGACACCAGCTCATGCTTCATGAAGGGCATAAGATGCAGGATGAATGGATGGATAGATAGAAGAAGGGATGTATAGAAAGACAAAACAGGAACTTGTTAGTAACAAGGTCTAAAATAGGCCCTTGAACGTTTAACCGTTACGTATCTTTCTTGTATGCAACACCACACAAGGTTATTAGAGTTAACTAAAAAACTAAAAGTCAAAAACAATAAAATTAAGATGAAAACAGAAAAATATAAAAACTAATTCAAAATATTAATAAAAACTATAATAGTATCTCAAAGGGATTTATGGGATTTGATGGGATCTGTTTTCTGCTCATGCCTTTTGATTTTTTCTCTCCCAATTTTTACATGGGCTGTTCAGAAAGGATTTGGTGGGGCCCCTGAGTGGAAAAACTGAAAATAGTAGTAATGGTAGTACCTTCTCCTATGGCCTGCAGACCTGTGTTCCACTTCACCACGTGTCGTACTGGAAAAAGTGATGGATGAAAATGATGAGGAGAAGATGAATGAACAGAAATAATGAACCAAAATTAATATGAAGAGCTGATGAGATGATTGACAGCCTTAAGAATGTTCACTAGAATGATTAATGAAACATGAAGAAAACTGTTTTTGATGATACCAATGACTGATAATTATTCAATATAAATATTTATTCGATAATTATTTTTTAATAGAATAATTTATTATAATTATCAATAGATTGTGGTTTGCTGCCCTTTTTGGATGGATAAATAAATAAATAAATATATATATATATATATACAGTGGTGTGAAAAAGTGTTGGCCCCTATAATAAAACAAATGCACAAAAACTCACTTAATTTCCTCAACATAAATTGGCAAGGGACAAAGAGTTTACATTTAAAAAAGCACAACCATTATGTAAACCATGATGTTCCTTTTTTGTGTCTTAAGAGTATTAGAGGTCATCTGAGTGTTTATTATCAGCAGGAATACAGTCCTGTGTGACCTAAATACAGCTCTTTCTCACAGAACAGCTGCCTGCTGACAAAGCCCACAGAGGAAAGGACCCTTACACTACTGGGATTTCCCTTCACAAACACAGTCACATACAGACTGTAAATGATTCAGAGCTGTACACAAAGCTGAAGTAATGCCAAGATGATGAGACAAAAACCAAAACTGAGCAACTGCAAGCGTAAAATCAAATATAAAATGTATATTATGCATGTATATGATTGCATTATAAAGACAGATACAATGAATGATTAAAGGGCAAGTGGGCGGTATATTGATGATAATACTTTGATCCTATTATCAGATGACTTACAGGAAATGACACATTTATAAGAAAAAAAGTGACGAGACATGTAGGCCAAGTTTGGAAACCCATACTCTAAATGTATCTACTGCTTTTAACCCATCCAATTGCACGCACACAGCAGTGAGCAGTGAACACACACACACACACACACACTGTGGGCATACACCCGAGCAGTGGAAAAACAAACTTTTACCAAATATATTTTGGATTATTTTTATGTAGTATTTCTCTTATTTATAACATTGTGATATTTAATTTCACATATTAAATAACTGATTAGCCTATTATCTCTGATAGCTTAGCTTAACGCTAATCAATTAGCATGCTATCTTAGCTCCCATTGCTACAAATGAAACTTAAAATGCTATATTTTAGTTATTTAGAAAAAGATAGTGGGACAACTCAATAGCTAAACAATAAGCCTGGTAGCTTAGCATACCTCTAGTCAATTAACGTTTTTGAACAGTCATTTTGAAGGCTACCTTTCAGTGTTTAAGGGGGTTTAGGATTCTCTCATTTTGCACTACACTGGACTCCCTGCTGAAAAGGAGAGCTACAACTAGCCTATTCAAGTTGACTGGTCTTAGCTGGTTTAAGCTGGTCATGGTGGTCTCCAGGTGGTCTAAGGTGGTCTAAGACCAGCCTGCAAACCAGCAAAGATCAGCTTGAAGACCAGCTAAAACCATCCAACAGTTTCAGTTTTTTTTTTTTTTTATACCTTGGATTTAATCCCAAAAACGTTTGTTTTTATTGGTGGAGATTACCTGCGTTGACTAATCTCCGTCTCCCCCGCTGAATTTTTGCCGGGGCCCCAACTGTGCCTGCGTAAAGGGGACAGGGATCGTATGGAGGTACGTAAAATGGCTGACCGCTGCAGGACCTCTGTCAAGTGGTCCTTTTTCTCTTCCTCCTCTATTTCTCCTGAAACAGGTGAAGCTCCAGGAGATGTGGGCTTTTCCTGACAGGGGTCTGATGTAGGAGCTTCTGTGCTGGCCTGAGAGATGGCGCTATGGGTCCCGAGGCTGGAGGTGTCGTCTGTGGAGGACGAGTAGGACATGGACACACCGCTGGTGACTGTGACGCTGTCCTCAGCCTTTGATGGAGAAAGTGGAGAAGAATTGGACGGAGTTTGCAAAAACAAAATTACATTTGATGTTTGGTGAAAACTAGGAGGACTGGGATTTTGGAACAACTTCCCAACCTGACGGAGCAAAAATTGCACATTATGCCTGGTTAAGACAAGCACATGTGAAGTCTGCAAAAGACCGCTGATGACGTACCACCTTTACATCTGCAGTTTACATACAGGCAGATCATTTTTTCTTTCTTTCAGCAAACCCCATGGAGTCTCAGAGTTCTTTCCATCCTTGTAAAGTTTACATAACATAGAAACACACAGCTTTGACATTCATTTCCATTCACAGCGGCTCATTAGTTTCCTCACATGCTGAGACCGCAGCCAAGCAAGGGGTGTGGTGAGCTAGCGGCTACATTACACTAACCGTAATAGATGACTTTATGAGCTACGGAGGGGGAAAAAAAGACTTCCAGAACACAAGTCAAGCTTAGGTGAAGTGACTCTACCTGCTTTCGGAGCTAGGAGAAAATGTAAGCATGCTACGGGAAATTCCCCGTACAATTCCAGGAGAAAAAGTAAGCTAATCTTAATGCAAGCTTCCTACAAATTTTTATTTTCCGGAAAAAAAAACCCAGAACAAAAACAGTGATGACATTTTGTTAAAAGAGCTATTTACAAATTTTTTGCAAAAAAAAAAAAAAATCATTGTATCTTCAATTTGTGTGCAACCTATTTGGTCAGCCATTTAGCTTTGTATACTGCTAGCTGCTTAGCCTGCTCTCTCAGAATACAGCTAGCCAATTAGCCTGCTCTCTCAGAATACTGCTAGCCAATTAGCCTGCTCTCTCAGCATAATGCTAACTGATTAGCCTACTCTTTTAGCATGACGCTAGTGGATTAGCCTACTCTTTTAGCATGACACTAGCGGATTAGCCTATTCTCTTAGCACGCCGCTAGCTGATTAGCCTACTTTCTTAGCATGCCACTAGCCAATTAGACTGCTCTCTCAGCATACTGCTAGCCAATTAGCCTACTCTCTCAACATACTGCTAGCTGATTAGCCTGGTAGCTTAACTTAAGCTGCATCCCAAATGATACACTATGCACGTATACACTATGTACTCAACCATGTAGCGTATGAATTATATAAGGTTATTTTGTCATTCATAATCGGAGTCTGATAGCCCCTCCCCCTTCGCTACGTGATTAAAGCTGTGACAGTTGAGTGCATGAAGTGTCCAACATTCCACGTTTCGTTTTTTCAGTTATTTAAGTGCATCATCCGGGTTTTAAAGCGCACTATGTCTTTTTGGAATTTTCGGTGTAAACGCACTACTCGCACTATTAATACTACAAAACATCATGGAATAGTGACTATAAGACTATTCTGCATTTCAAAATAGGATTCTAACGAATTATTGCGGGATCTATGTACGTATCATCAAGGAAACAAAACACTACAGTCATCCTTTGCGACTTGCTAAGAGCAACACTTGCGTGTCAAAGTCTGTGTTAAACATCTTTAAAGGGGTCATATGATGCGATTTCAATTTTTCCTTTCTCTTTGGAGTGTTACAAAAGGAGTTTAAGGGGTGGAGGAATCCACAGGGAAAATTGAGAAATTAGGATGAAGCATGTCTGAGGATGAGGTCATAATTGTGGCCTTGGCCCACTGATCTGCTCACGTCACATGACGTGATGTCAGTGGAGCAAGATGTTGTGTGTAGAGGAGCACCGCTGAAAATGAGACATATTACATAACTGCTTTATCTGGCCAAAGCACAAGCAAGGGGTTCTTCACATGGTAAAGAGACATAGAAACAAAGCAAATAGCAAAAACAAACAGAATTGGATGATATGGGAAACGCAACACAACCCCCGGACGCACCTTATTATTAAAAATGCTGTCCTCGCTCAAATCCTGGCTAAACAGAGAGTCACCATCGCTGGCGGACACTCGCATGGTGCTCGCTGACTCTTTGTGATGTACGGTCTCGGGTGAGGGGGTCGAAGGGGGGAATTCTGAAAAAAGAATCAGAAAAACATGAGAAAGTCGAAGAGCAACAGAAGAACAATAAATAGAAAAGAAAACACACCAGACTCCAGCGAACTGAATCAATATACAGCGAGTCTGAAAGTGACTAATTTCAGTCCGTTTTGTTGCATTTCTGCTCACAATCATCGCAGACAGGATGTTGATGTCATCTACTTAAATAGATGATCTTATTTGACTAGTGGAGTCTTTTGTATTGACAGGAAGACATTCATTTAGTCTTTGGAGGATGTGAATGCCACTTCCCATGCAACACAATGTGGGCACTATTTAGATTGGACACACACAGACACACAGTCTGAGCAAAGAGGGCATCCTTTCTTTGTAGTGTGCTGGAAGATGCATAAAAGAGGTTTTGTGTTTTGTTCTGGATGTAACTTTTAACCATCAACTAGACCTATGTGACGCAATGTTGTGTTGTTGACGTCAAATGCCATACATCAGATTCTGTGGTATTTCACTGTAAATTCATGCATCACTTGGAAGAAGCTAGAGAAACTACGTAGATGCCAACATGGACATCCTCAAAAACCATTAACATTTGGGTTTCCACTTGATATTCAATGCAAAGTCAGGGTTTTGAAGCCAAACCGGTTTAAAAGCACTGATTTAAGAGTAATGTTGGTTACCTGAAATCACTGAAGTGGATTTCTTCTCCTGGAGTCCAGCATCTTGACTGGCATCAACTGAATAAAACGTCTCCGTCTCTCTGTGGATCTGCAATGACAAAATCAGTCTAGTTTAGAGTTTCATTTAATGTACAAAATAACCATTTCATATAAAAAATCTGACAATTTTCAATTTGATTGTGTATGTTCTGATCTTAAAATATTTATATCTATCATATAAAAATGCTTGTTACATGTTTAAAACCAAGAAAGAAGAAAACAAATAAATATCAAGGTACAGACTGTCAACAAATTTTTTTTTTTTTTATTCTGCATCACTGCAAATAAATTATGCATATATAGCATGTTAGCTATGAACTTATAATACCAAGACAATGATTCCACCATTTTATTACTAAATTGTTTAAAATGTCATTTTCACCGTTATTCTATCACAAAATCAAAATAAAACAATTAAATTGGGATGTGGTGGAAATTACATTAGTCGTTTCAGTACAAAAGAACAAAAAAAGAGAGAAATAAATTTTAAAAATGGTCTCTAGAGCCCTGAAAAAAAAAAAAACATCTGTATTTTCTCAGGTTCTCTCATCTGCTAAAAACTGCTAGAATCCAGCAGGACATACTGATGCATCAGGTGAAAGATGGTTTCCTCTGCTACCTAAACTCAGGACAAGTATGTCAATGGTTTTGTCTTGGATGCCTAAAGCATTTTCCTTCGACCACAGAATTCACTTTCTTGATGAAGAAAGGCTAGGGTTGCCAACTTCAGAAAATTAAAATATGGGACAATCTCCTTAGGTTAATCTCCAAAGTTAAGAATTATGCTATTAGTTACTTAAATATAAAATGTTTTTTCTCTATTTAACAACATTACAATAGTGAAAGACGACTTCCCTTACTGAGCACGTCTCTTGCGTGGCGGGATGTTGGACTCATGAAAAATAATCACATAGTTTGTATTCACCAAAACTGATTTACTGAAGTGAAAACACAGACGGAATTGGCGTTAGCGCGAGCGCCGCTTGCTGTGAGGCGGGAGCGACGAGCTGGCAGAGGATTCCGCAGCCTTCCTCGAACAGTTATGTTCACGATTTCTGATTTACTTAACGTATTCTGCGTGAGGGGGGGCTGTGATTGGATGATGACAGGTATCGGTGATCATTCTCAAGTGATCAGCACTGCTGCTGTTGTATCAGTCAGTGGTTAGATCAGCATAGCAGTCAAAAAACGGGACAAGGGAAGTCACATACGGGACAAATCAATTAGGCCCAAAATACGGGACATCCCGGCTAATACGGGACGGTTGGCAACCCTAAGAAAGGCACTCATGAACAGAAATATTAGCACTGGTAAGAGCATCTACCTCCTGAGAGTAACATGTGGTTGGAAACCCTCAAGGCTGTGATTTGGGGCAGGAAGGGTTTATGGGGGCATGTGTGGGGTGTTCAGAACAGACCTGGAGAGGAATGTGACCCACATATAAACATCACGGCCCACTAACATTCAACACAGAGCAGCTGTGAATGGGCTGTAGAGGGTTAGCTTAAGGCTACTGCAAGGACGAATTGGTCACCATATACTTTTCATTTATCAACCTTAAGGCCTATGCAAACCATATTCAGAGAAAAACACATATATATATAAATACAATAAAATAACTAAAAATAAAATAATTGTAAAATTTGAGATTTTTATAAATTAAAAATATATATCAAAGAAAAGCTACAACACCAGCTGTAAAGTAGCATAGAAAGATCAAAAGACCATGAAAAAGAAGAATGTTGCTGTGGCGGAAACAGAAGCTTAGAAACCTTCCTGTGCAGCTCATCTGTATGACCATCATCAGCTCCATTCATGACTGATTATACCCAACCACCGCCCATCGTGAGCATGTGACACACGCTGAACTCCCACGCTTAGTGTGTACCCACTGTGTGCATGCACGTGTGTCTGTGTGGCTGCTGGTCATAGGCCTCCTTTGTTTGGTCATTGGTGGACGGACACTGGTCTAGTGTGGCCAGCAAGAGGGGCGTGGGCTTTTTTCAATAGAACCGTCAACAGCTGTGGCCTTTTAACTCACAGAGAGAGAGAGGGATGGAGAGAATGAGAAATAAATACTGAAAAAATGAATAAAATGGGGGGAATAGCTGGTTGAATTGGTTCTCTGAGCTGTGATCTTTATGTCAGAGCTGCAGGTTCAAATCCAGCCTTCAACGTGCCCCAACTCCATTTCCTCCATTTCTCAATATTAATTGTAAGACCCTACAAAAAGTAGCAAAAGCCCAAGAAACAAAAAAAATAACCTAAAAATAATAAAAACTAAACAGCCAACTAACTGGAAAAGACAGCAACAAATCAAACATACAAACAAACAAACAAACAAATGTAAATAAAAACTAAGTTGACAACTAATTGTAAAGATCAAACTAAAATAAGATGAAACAAAAAATCCCCCCCAAAAAACAAACAAAAACTAAACAGACAACTAAATGAAAACAAAAAAAGCATCTAATAAACAAATCAAACATACAAGAAAGCTCAAACAAAACAAAAAAAGGAAAACAAAAAACTCAATAGACAACAAAAATTAAATGAAAACAAAAAACAAAACTAAAACTAAACAGACAACTACATGAAAACAAAACAAATAATAAATAGGTTATATACACAATAAATAGGTTGCAATTGTCATTTTTTTTTTTTTTTTTTTTTTTGTTTTAGAAAGAATAGGAAAAGATGAGGGGATGGGATCAGTAAATGACACCAGCTGGATTCAAACACTGGTCATGTGCCAAAGTGCCACCACATGCCATCATGAATAGTGATTCAGGTCTGTAATGTTTCACTGCTGTTCATGACAACATGTCATTCCCAACCACAGTAGGTTCTGAAAGGATCCAAACAGCACTGAGAGACTAACACCAGCTGGAACTTAGACATGCATGTTATGTTTACTTATCGCAGAACAGGCACCAACCTCAATCTGACAAAGAAACTCAAACAAAATCATACAAACACACACTGTCCCCAATCCTTCAATCTCTATTATGAATGATAAACTTGCCTTTGAGTGGAAAAGCAAATGAAAAGCCTCAAGTACAGACAGAGCTCTCAGTTTCAGCCAATTAAACACTAGTTATCAACACTTATGGATGTGTGTATCTGGATGTATATTACCAAAAGCACAAAAATGCGTTTATGTGAACAGATTTGCAGAGAACCAGAAGGCTAGCTGGGATACTGCTCAGATATTTTGTGTTAGTTTCACGGCTTGGTAATAATGGTAATGCATGTAGCAGACACACACAGAAACACTTCCAACCAGACAGCGTTTAAACCAATTACTGAATGAGTCGTGAAAATCACTCCACAAGTGTGGCATATTGAGCCAATGTGCAGTAATGGAAAGATGTAATGCCTCATACTGACCGAATGCTCCACTGAGAGCACTTACATGTAAACATGCCATAGAGAGGAAACAGTCAGCCAGAGTCCTGTTCTTTGATCATGAATTTTATGGATACACGTTTTAAGGATAACTTACAAAGAAATAAATCAAGCATAAAGGTTTGTCAGGCTAGCTATGTTAACACTTAACAGAGCAACATACCTGATTGATCAATCAATATGGATTTGTTTATAATGATCAATGCTCATCTCAAAAACAAGGTGCCGATATAATGCCAGTATATCAGACATTATTATTTATTCCATAAGAAAAAGTGTCCAATAATATGGGGGTTATAAAGAAAAAGTGATTAGTAGTTGACTGGTCATGTGGTCAATATGTCAGCTGCCATAAGGCTACTAATATCACTGGATTTATCTTCTCATGTGACAATTTCACTATTAATACTATTAATGTTTTCAGTTTTAATAAGAAAAAATATACAATGTTAAATTTAAACTTCTTTAAACGTAATAAATAAGTAGAAAAGGTGTGCATTATTCATTGACAAGGCAGATCTATACAATACAGATAATCTCATTAGAAGGCCACACCAAATATAAATATTTGCCTTAATTAATAATAATATGATATGTGCTATATGTTTGTGTTTTACATTCTGCTGGCCAAAAATCAGTCTGGTCTATAAATCAGATTATGTTTTTTATTTTATAACTATTGCTGACAGGCAGATTTGAGTTATGTAGGTTTATGCATATCATTCAAAAGATTTCTTTTTTTTAAAGACATTTATATTCAGCAAAGCAGCGTTAAATTGATCAAAAGTGTCAGTAATTATGTTCAAAATATTTCTATTTCAAATAAATGTTATTTTGAATTTATATTCATTAAAGAATCCTGAATAAGAATTGTTTCTTTTGTAGCACCAAATCAGCATATCAGCATAAATTACATTTCATAATATATTAAAATAGAACAGTTGTTTTCAATTACAATATTACGAAATATTACTGGTTTTACTTTATTTTTAATCAAATTAATGCCGCTTTTGTGAGCATAAAAGACTTCATGAAATCTTACCAACCCCAACTTTTTGAACAGCAGTTTGTTATTCTGAAACTTCACTGTCAACCCACATTCAGAAAACGAGACCCAGCTCTTTTTTGACTGGCATGTGTGTGAAAACACACACAAAAATAAAGCACATAGCATACTATTATAGCACACATATTTATGTTTGGTGTGGCCTACTGAAAAAAGATAGACGTTCTTGTGTTATTGCAACTCAAGGCAGCCCAGGACTCTCCACTGGGATTCTGCCTGTAACAAGTGTGCTTTGGATAAAAGCTTCTGTCAAATGACGGGATGCAGCCGGACACAATGGGGATTTGAACAGGCGCTGGGACATAGAGCCTATTGCAGGGGATGATTTATGGCACAACAATGCAGATGTGACATCAGGTTTCTACATGCACGACTGGAAATTAAGTATGAGAATAAGAAGACATGCAGAATTAATAAACACAATCTTTGAAACCATGCGTGTGTTTGGTAAGGAAAGGAATTATGACAAAGGAGTGTTGTGCGCGAGCTCATGATGCAGGCTGTAAAAAGCTGCCATGCATTTCCCCAGGCGTGTAGCTTAATTGTCTGTACGCCACTGGTGGCGAGTAAATGGG